AGACAATTACCTCCAAAGGAGTTCCCATAAGACTCTCAGGTGATTTTTCAAAAGAAACCTTGCAGGCAAGAAGGGGCTGGAAAGAACTATTCAAAGTCATGAAAAGCAAGGACGTACAACCTAGATTACTCTATTCAGGAAAGCCCTCATTTAGAATGGAAGGGCAGATAAGTGCTTCCCAGACAAGGTCAAGTTAAAGGAGTTCATCATCACCAAGCCCTTATTACATGAAATGTTAAAGGGGCCTATCTAAGAAAAAGAAGATCAAAAACTATGAACAGCAAAATGACAACAAACTCACAACTATCAACAACTGAACCTAAAAACAGCCCTGGCTGGTGTGGTTCAGAGGACTGAGTGACAGGCCGTGAAGCAAAGGGTCATGGGTTTGATTCCCAGTCTGGGCACATGCCACGGTTGAGGGCTAGGTCCCTAGCTGTGGGCATGTGAAAGGCAACCACACATTGATGCTTCTCTCCCTCTCTTTCTCCCTCCCTTCCTCTCGTGCTAAAAATAAACAAACAAATAAATAAAACAACTGAACCTAAAAACAAAAACAAACTGAGCAAACAGCTAGAACAGGAATAGAATCAGAGAAATGGAGATCAGCAGGGAGAAGGAAAGGGAGGGGAGAAAAGGAAAGGGAGGAGGGAGAAGAAAAGGGAGGGGGGAGAAGAAAAGGGAGGGGGGAGAAGGAAAGGGGAGAAGGAAAGGGGAGAAGGAAAGGGGGGACGGGGGGAGGGGGGAAGGGGGAAGGGGGAAGGGGGGAAGGGAGGAACAGGGGGAAAAGGGGGAGAGGGGAGGGGAGGGGAGGGGAGGGGAGGGGAGGGGAGGGGAGGGGAGGGGAGGGAGAGGGGAGGGGAGGGGAAGGGGAAAAGGTATAGGGAATAGGAAGCACAAATAGTAGGTACAAAATAGACAGGGGGAGGTTAAGAATAGTATAGGAAATAGAGAAGCCAAAGAACTTAAATGTACTCCCGGTGGGCATGAACTAAGGGGGGAAGGGGATGCTGATGGGAGGGGAGTGCAGGGCAGAGGGGAATAAAGGGGAGAAAAAAATGGGACAACTGTAATAGTGTAATCAATAAAACATATATTTTGCATATGTCTAGGTTGCAGAAGCCCCGGTGGGGGGCGCTGGCGGGGCAACCATATATTGATGTTTACCTCTCTTTCTCCCTCCCTCCCCCCTTTATAAATAAATAAATAAACAAACTAAGAAATCAAAGAAACACTTATACGTGGAATTTATATTGTTCCAAGTAATCCTTCAGTCTTGTTGGTCAAGGCAGTCCCCGGACGGTACCTGTACATTTGTTTATGGTGAGTCTACGGAGGTGCTGCAGAGGTGGTGCGGCTGTGTAGAGCGGTTTGATCCCATGGAGGTGAACCGTGCAGTTGGTTGGGGGAGAGGGGTGGGACTGAGGCCTGACCTCTTATCTTTGAACATCTGAACAAAGTAGTCGATCAGATGAACCACACTGTTAAATTGTTTAAGCTTGGACTTGAGACATATGATAGAGTCCTATCTGAATTTACCATCCTGATATTCTATTCGCAGATTAGTTGGTCCAGCTGATGTTTTAGCAGATATTGTTAGTAGGTAGTCTGAATGCGAACTATCTCTAATCAAGAAAGTTCCTTCTGGTGCCTCTTTTAATTTCTCTTTGGCTTCATTAACAGTCATAGTTCCCCAGTACCACCTTGTTTGAGCTCCCGCAAGGCCTTCCCCAGAAGTGCCGCCTCCGGGGACGGCTCCTCCGAGGGCTTGGCGGGCCCGCATCTCTACTGTGCCATTCACGGAGAGCTCGAGGCACCGCAGGATCCTGAGCAAATGGTCACCGCAGCAAATACAAATGGCCGCCTGAGCTGGGGTCAGAGAGGGGCACGCATCATTTCTGAAAGTCAGTGGAACCCCAAAACACGTCCCTGCGCAGTATCCAAAATGATGGTGGAGGGGGACTGAGTCGGGAGTTGCTGATTCTTCCTCTCCCAGTCCCGGTGGGCAGATAGAAAAGTCTCCCGCAGGCGCGGTCACCCACAGTTTGCCTGCCACCTGCCCCCTGCTCCGGCCCCATCTCCTCCAGCGCCCCGACTGCAGGCACAGAGGATTCTGAGGCGATGCGCCCAGGGCCCCGTTGCACTCCGTCAGCGCCCCGCGCAGCGCCGGTAGCGGCCGGCGGGCGAGGAGGCTCACGCGCTTCAAGGGAAGCCCAGGACCTGCTAGCAGCAGAGGAGGCGGCGGCGGCCGCGAGACTTGGCAAGAGTTAAATATCGGTCAGGATGCTCTTCTTAATTCGCAAAACTTTGGCAATGATGAAAATCTGGATATAATGGATGAACGTCCTGAGGCCTAACTTTGTCTGTACTTGACCAAAAAGAGGGACTGAGAAGGAACAGTTCCTGGTCGCTGGAACTGATGTGATGCTCGCAGTAGCTAGCATCAATATTTTTAAAACCTGGTTTGATGCTCAAAGGCCACTTTGTTCTCCAATTCTTTTATCATAGAACACCACCGTCACACATGGTCATTCTGAGAACATGAGAGAATGAAACAAAATAAGGCCACTTTCAAAGAGATAGAAGTAGAATGGCTGTGAAGAGAGGAATGAGTTATTGTTTAATGGGTATAGAGCTTCAGTGTTTCATAATGAAAAGAGCTATGGAGGTGGGTGATAGGGATGATTCCATAACAGTATGAATATATTTAATACCACTGAACTGTATGCTTAAAATGGTTAAGATGTTAAATTTTATATTATGTGTATTTTACCAAAATATAAAAATGTAAAAAAAAACCAAGACTACTTCATAGCTTTGTCTAAGCATAGGTAAGAGCAACATCGTGGAACTACCCACCAAATACCCAATCATAGAACTGTCCCCATTTTCTGACAGTATCCAATCTGGAGCTAACTCCCCTAAATCTCTCAACTAAAGCCTAAATCCTATAACGTTTTTTCTAACATCTTCTTATCAAGACAGCCTGCAGTTCCCTGTGGTCTGTGGTCTTCCTCACTGCAATAAATAATAAACCCCATTTATTTGATTATAGATGTGTTCCTCACCGTCTTTTGCGGTAGGAAATTGACTACCTGTGAATTATTGGGTTAGGTAAAAAGTTTGTTTTTTTCCCATAAGATGGCTCTAGTAGCACTTAGTTCTCCTTAACTTCATTAGAAACAATTTTGTTAGATTGTATCCTGATAGCTGTCATATCAGCGTGCACTTTTAAAAAGTTATCAAAACTGGTGAATTTTTGTGTAGCTATTTAACATTGAAGATGGAAGAAAATACACATTTCTGCATATTATGCTTCATTATTTCAAGAAAGGTAAAAGTGCAACTGAAATGCATATAAAGATTTGTGCAGTGCATGGAGAAGGAAGTGCTATGACTGATCAAATGTGTCACATGTGGTTTGCGAAGTTTTGTGCTGGAGATTTCTTACTGGATGATGCTCCATGGTTGGGTAGACCAGTTGAAGTTGATAGCAATCAAACGAAGACATTAACTGAGAATAATCAATGTTATACCACGCAGGAGATAGCCGACATAGTCAAAATATCCAAATCAATAAAGTTATTGGTGAAAATGAAAAATGTATCTTTTGGCCCTGCCTGGTGTGGCTCAGTGTAAAGAGCACTGGCCTTTGAACCTAAAGGTCACTGGTCTGATTCCCAGGCAAGGGTACATGCCTGGGTTGTGGGCCAGGTCCCCAGTTGGGATTATGTGAGAGGCAGCAGATCCCTTTCTCTCTCTCTCTCTCTCTCTCTCTCTCTCTCTCTCTCTTGCACATCGATTTTTATCTCCCTCCCTTCCCCTCTCTTTAAAGGTAAATAAATAAAATCTTAGAAACAAGGAAGGAAGAAAGAAAAGAGGCCCTGGCTGATGTGGCTCAGTGGATTGAGTGCTGACCTGCAAACCAAAGGGTCACAGGTTCAATTCCCAGTCTGGGAATTGCAGCCCAGGTTCCCAGTGGAGAACATGTGAGAGGTAACCACACATTGATGTTTCTCTCCTCTCTCTCTCTCCCCCTCCCCCATCTCTAAAAAATAAATAAATAAAATCTTCTTTAAAAAAAGAAAGAGAAGAAAAATGTATCTTTTATTTTATGGAAAAAACCATATGGCCTTTTTTGCCAACACAATATATTTCTAAAAAGCAAGGAGAAATTCAAGTTATTTATTCTTTTCTTCATTTTTATCAAGTAAGCATTCTTGTAACCACACCCAGATTTAGAAAAAGAACTATCAATCTTCCTAGAAGTCCTCCACATGTCCCATTTCATGGGACCTACAAAGTGTATCCATTCTCCAGACTCTTATAGAAATAATTTCTTTGTTCTTTATAGACTTATCACCAAATGTGTATTGTTCATCTCCTAAATTTTATGTCTTTTAAGTCTCTTACAAGCTTGTCTATGTACAAGTTTTCCTTCCATCTCTTTATTTTCCTTATAGTTATCTGCTGAAGAACCCAGGCCTTTAGACTAGAGTCTTCCAAAGACTGAATTTCCTGATTGCACAGTTATGTTTCCATTCAGCATGTTTCTTCATTCTCTAAGTGTATTGCAAATTGGCAAATGGAACCAGAGACTTGGTCTTACTCTGGTCAGTCTCTTGCAATATGGCAGGTAGTGTTGGGTTCTTTCATCAGAAACCACGCCTGGCTTTCTCTGCTTTTATGTTAACAGTTGTTAGGTGCAATGCCCAGATCCATTAATTTATTGGTGGCTGCAAAATAGTGACAGTCTAATTCTATTGTTTGTTTTTAATTTATTAATTGGAATACTTCTATTAAGAGATACTTTTTACGTACTATTAATTACCTATAGGTATAGTTCATGTAGAAAAAGTAGAATAAATGTTTGATTTTGGCTTTGTTTTTACACTTTTCAAGATAGTAGATTGGTTTCTTTGAAGGTAACCAGTTAATTTTTTTAATATCTTTTTTTTAGTTGACACAAAGGCAATTTATTAACAGAATACAATAATGTGAGGACTCCTGTTCACAGAAGGTGACCTCCCTTCCTGCGGCTGCTGTCGGAAGGGATGGGGGTGACATCCTCAATCTGTCCAATCCTCATTCCTGAGTGGGCAAGTGGTCTGAGAGCTGACTGGGCCCCTGGTCCAGGCAGCATGGTCCTATGTCCTCCTGTGGCCTGAAGTTTGATGTGGAGAGGAGTGATACCTGGCTCCTTGCACCTCCGGGCCACATTCTGGGCAGTCAACATGGCAGCATATGAAGAAGACTCATCTCTGTCAGCCTTTGCCTTCATCCCACCAGCCACACGGCAGATGGTTTCCTTGCCAGGAAGATCAGTGACATGGACAAAAGTGTCATCGAAGGATGTAAAGATGTGACAAACACCAAATACATTTTCTCCTTCAGCCACCTGAGGTCCAAGGCTGATGACCTGTTCTTCCTTCTTTTCCTTCCCCTTGTGAGGTGCTATTTCTGCTTGTTGGGTCCAGACTCCGCCACCAAAAAGAGAGAGTGGGAGAGGGCTGGGCAACAAGTCATGTTCTAATTTTTTAATATCTTTATGAACCCATGGACTCAAACATATTTGATGGATTTTAATCAATGAAAATATTATTATGACACTCAAACTTTTCTACCTTTGGCCAGTTGGAGCCTTTGCAGTAGACTTCTGAATAGCTTAATCTACTCCTGTTCATTTTGTGGTGTCTTTACTCTGTGGTATATGCAGCTGTTTCAGGCTCATCCTTTACATTTCTTCCCTGAATCTGTAACCAGTATTTCTCTAAGGAACCCTGGATGGCACTCAAGGTATTAGGAATGTGCATTGTTGTGAGTTGGTCATCGTTTCTAACACTTAGAAATATACATTGTGTGTGTGTGTGTGTGTGTGTGTGTGTGTGACATACATACTTTTTAACTTAACCTTTTCTACATTACATTTGTATCTCCTTTTTTCTACCTAAAATCCTGGTTCTCAAGGATATAGGAGATTATGAATTAGAACAACCTCACTATTAATTACTAATTTGTTTTATCACATATTACACTATATTCTCAAAACAGAAATACTAATTATCATTACCAATATGATTACTGAGAACAACTTAAATTGTTGTGCATGTTACCCCCATTTCTCCTTCACTTATTTCTTAGGAAAAAACATTGACAAACTTTTTCATTTTTAGTGTCTTAATTAGTTTAAACTGCATAATTCAGTGGTTTTTAGTATATTAAAGAAATTATATATGCTGTACATCTGAAAGTAATACAAAATAATATTGATTGTAAACTGTAACTGAAAAATAAAAATTTTTAAAGATTTTATTTATTTATTTTTAGAGAGAGGGGAAGGGAGGAAGAAAGAGAGAGAGAGAAGCATCAATGTGTGGTTGCTTCTCACATTCCCCCTACTGGGGACCTAGCCCACCACCCAGGCATGTGCCCTGACTGGGAATCAAACCAGCAGACCTTTTAGTTCACAGGCCAGCACTCAATCCACTGAGCTACACCAGCCAGGGCAAATTTAAAAAAAAAAAAGAGTTATACAATCATCACCATTATTTAATTCCAGAATATATTCTATCGCCTCTGTACCTTCCTCTCCCCTCTCTCCTATCCCCTGGCAACCACTAATGTATTTTCTCTCTCTCTCTATGGATTTACATGTTTGGGACATTTCATGCAATGGTCTCACCGATGCACCTCCGCTTGCCTAGGCCAAAGAGAATCACCTGCTCACTCAGTGCCTTGTTGACAGTGCCATTGGGGGTGAGAAAGCATTCTGGCCGGAACTCGGATGGGTTGTCCCAATATGATTCCATATTGGAATCATACAATATGTGGCCTTTTATGTCTGGTATCTTTCAGTAAGATGTTCTCATGTTTATCTATGTTACAGCACATGAAACTAGTTATTAATATTTTTTAATCCTCACCCAAGGATATTTTTATTGATCTTAGAGAGGAAGGGGGAGAGCAAAAGAGAGAAACATTGATGTGAGAAACATCAGTTGGTTGCCTCCTCTACACACCCTGACTGGGGATCGAACCCACAAACCAGGTATGTGCCCCAATCTGGAATCAAACCCAAAAATTTTTGGTGTATGGGACAACGCTCCAATCAACTGAGCCACCCAGCCAGGGCAAGTTATTTTAAGTAAAAAAATAAATCAGTACAAAAATGATTGGGCATCAAATTCCTCACCCCCTACATAAAGAGGCCTGCCCCAGCTAACTTCGCTTGTTTCCTGTAGGGTCCTGAATGCATTGGTGAGTGGGAGCTATCTACCCCTGTCAGAAAGCGGTGCATGAATGACACTTGCTGGCCCCTGCACAGTGCTTCTGGAAGATAGCTGGGCTGGGACTCGCATCCCCAGATACATCTCCCCTCACTCCCTCAAACCAAAACAGCTCCTGGCTGCATGAGTCTAGCCTCTGCCCCTACATGGTACTGCTCTCTGCCATCCCAGGTGAACAGGGGATTTCAGTGTTGAAATCTGGGCCACCTGCAACTTATGGGGCCCAATAATCAAAGGCCTTTTTCTCCATTTGTGACTAGCTTTAGGTTCTGATATGGATGCACAGCCTGAGCCGGGCCTGACCCGTAAGAAACAGACCACAACTTTTGAGCTGAGAACCTCTCTCTCTCTATCCACTGACCAGGGCCTACCCTGCTGGACTCAAGTGAGACTACCTCTATTCTTTAAAGGAGGGCTCTGTACAGCTGTCCCCAAGACCCAGAAACCTTTCCCGCTACCCCTACCCACCCAGGCTCTGGGCCTCACCCTCCAATATGCATTTGCCTTGTAGAATCCTGATGGCAATGAGGAGGAGGATGTGTTTATGAGTCAGTTCCTCCAAGCCACTTGGGAGGCCCCCAAAGACAGGGGTCATGTTTTATTCACTTTCTATCCCCCTTCCACCGTGCCTGGTCCAATGAGTGCTGTTTATCAATAATCACTTAGTAGGGAAGAAGGCAGTGTCCCCATCCAGACTGTAAGCTGTCTGAGAGCAGTGACTTCACCTCCTAGCCGCCTCCTCCTCTTCCTCCTTCCACAGTAAAACTAGGCAAAAGATTGGGAGCAGGACAGGAATGTAGACAGGTGATGGCTTCATTCAAGATTCAAAAATCTCCACCTGTAGGACTTCTGCATATCTTTATTTAGCTCAGAAAGATGTTTCCTACACATTTCCAGGTACACAGGTATGAATTTGCTCTATTGTATTCAATAAATTGTTCTTAAGCTTTTACATATGGTAAGTGCAAACATGCAAGTACAATGCAGGCTAAAATAAAAAACTCCTTGCATACAAACATTTTTAAAAAGACACATTAACACAGGTCATAGAGAAAGGACACCAACAGATAGTGATTGAATCACATTCCCCTCACCCCCCATCTGGTCCTGGTGCCTAGATATAGGACTCTCTCTGCCCTGTGTTCTTCTAAGACACAGGTCCCCAGCTCCTCCTGGACAGGAACAGAGGCCTCATAAGGTCAGGAGGCATCACTGTTCCTGCCTGAAGAGAGGAAGGCAATGTCCTCAGGCACAGTGTCCCAGGCCCATGTAGTCGGATTCCTCAGCCTTGTTCAAGTAAGGAGACCACCTTTGTGCCAGTATCCTGGGCTGCCTCTTTCACTCTTGATGGCTCCCAGTTGTCAAAGAGATTGTATAGGCCTCGATGTGGCTTGTTCTAAATGTTTCTCAGGCCAGTCAGCCCCCACAGAGAGCCAGCTAGCTGTTGGACCCAGGCCTTCCAAAGAGCTCTTCAAAGGTTTCCAGAGGCCAGGGAACCTCCTGACCCTGTCAGACCTCCTAGCTCAAGCACTACTTCCGAAGGCTTCATTGCTCCTGTGTGGCCCCTACAGTGTCTACTGTCTGTGTTCAGTATGCAGAGGGGAAAGTCCAGCGTAGGAAGCAGACATGATCCCTTAGGCTTGCCTACAGCCAGACAGCAAAAAATCAGCCAGTCCAATATCTGTGGCTTTCAAGCCAAAACTTAGAACCCCCTGGGCTCACCTTGGCCTATCTGGGCAGACAGGCCAAGGGATACAGGTTCAAGGCCTTACTTTAGTCCATGTACCAGAGCAGGGCTGGTGGAAGGAAGACAGTATGTGAAATAGGGGAATCTCATTGTGACCCTGATCTTAACTGAGCTTTCTCCCTCCCCAGTACCACCAGAAACACAAGTCTGAGAAGCTTTTACAGGTACATGGCTCTGCAGGGCTCTCAGCTCCCTAAGAGCGAACCTGCATCTGAAAGTGCTCGCAGCGGACATACTTCATGGTAAGCCCGTAGATGGGGGTCATGTCCACCTTCACACCTGGTGGCATGCTGAATTCTACCTGATGCAATAGGATGGCCAGGAAAAGAAAGATCTCGAGGCGGGCAATGGTCTCACCGATGCACCTCCGCTTGCCTAGGCCAAAGAGAATCACCTGCTCACTCAGTTCCTTGTTGATAGTGCCATTGGGGGTGAGAAATCGTTCTGGCCGGAACTCGGATGGGTTGTCCCACAGTTTCCTGTAATCAGAAAGAGGCAGCTGAAGTGACAGCCTGGAGACTCAGAAGCATCTAGTGGGTTGCATCCCCGCCTAAAATAGCAGGGGATAACCAGGAACAGCAGGGTATGAAGCTCAGAAGAGGGTGGTTTCTCCTGTCCCTCTTCAACTTACTGGTCATGGTTGACCTGCCACTGGTTCACAAAGACACAACGCCCCTTGGGGATGTAAAAGCCTCTCAGACTCGTGTCTCTGGTGGTACTGAGGAGGGAGAAAGTTCAGTCAAGCTCAGGGCAACAGTGACATCCCCCTACCTTCCCCACCATGTTTCCCCCCACCAGCCCTTATCAAGTGCATGAACTGAAGTAAGGCCCAGTATCAGACAGAAATAGATCATAGGGCCTCACCTGTGGGGGATGGTGAAGGGGACAAAGGAGGAGTGTCGGAAGGTCTCCAAAATAAAGGCCTCCATATAGGACAGCTGGGGTCTGTCAGAGAGCCGGGGCCGCCGCGCCCTCCCAATCACTGTGTCTGTAGAGTACAAAGGACCAGACAGGTGAAGGGGCCTCCCAGGCCTTGGCTGGGCCCCTGCCTTAAGCACTTCGTAGGAGGCCACCACCTACCGAGCTCCTCCTGGATCTTTTTCTGCACATTGGGTCTTGTCACCAGGTACAAGAGGCTCCAAGAAATGGCAGTGGTGACTGTATCAAACCCTGGCCAGAGAAGAAGAGAGGGAGAAGTTAGGCAGTTGGTGGGTTAGGACAGTTGGGCACAAGAAAGGCAAATGGGGTAGCTCATACCAGCTCCAAAGAGGTCCAGGACAATACCAACGATCTGGTCTTCCGAAAGCTGGATATTGGCATTTTCATCCAGCCTCTTGTCCTGACAGTACTCGATCAGACTGTCTGTGATGTCCCGGATGTGGCCCTGGGTAGGGAAGGTACACAGGTGAGCGAGATCACAAACCCAGACCTACCTCTCCATCCAGACCTGGTCTCTTACTATCCTGAGCACCTTTATTCAAGAGATGACCCCCCACCACCACTTGCCGAAGGCTGCCACCCCAGCTTTCCTCTGCTTGTCCAGGGCTCTCTTCTGTCCCAACTTAAGGGACACCTGACACACAGAGTCTGGTATCACTTTCATGGGGACGTGCTCTTTACCCTTTTCTTCCCCATAAGGCCAGGAGACTAATGTTTTAACTCTTCCTTGTCCCTATAACTGTCCTACAGTCCTGTATGGAGTGGCTATTCAGTAAATATTGCTGTCTAACAGAAGGATAAAAGGGATGGTCAATAAAAAGTTCTATTTCCTTGCCATGGATGAAGTCCCCTCTACTACTACCTTCAAAATCTCAGGGTGAAGGCCCCTGAGAGTCTGCTAAACCCCAGGCTGTTCTAGTTATCTTGACCTCCTGATCCCTGGCCCTACCTACTCCTCACCACCCACCTGCCTCTCCCCAGCCTGTACCTTCTCAAATGTTTTATAGTGTTTCTTAATCATGTTCTGCATGAAGATGAAGAACTTCTTATTCACGTCCTTGAAGATACTCAGGGCAGGGTTGGGCAGGTAACGGAGGAAAGGAAGAAAGTCAACCAGGTTTCCGGAAGAAGCCACCTCCCCAAACTCATTATTCATGTTGACTAAAGTAAGTAGTTCTTGGTCATCATGGTCATAGCGCTGACCAAAGCACATGGTACAGATGACATTGGCCACTGACACCACTATACACCTGTAGGGGTCAAAGTGTCCAACCCCTGCCATCAGCTCCTGGAACTTGCTAATGAGGGCCTCAGCCTCACTGCTCACGTGTTCCTCCAGGTAGCAGGAAGATGAGGAAGCTGGGTCTGAGGCTACGGAGAAACTCTTCAGGGCACTCTGGGCCAGGCGTCGGCGGGCAGCCCACACTGGTCCAGAGTCTGGGTTAAAGGTCAGGCTCTGGCCACCACTGATGAAGGTGAAGCTGTAGAGGTCAGGCCGGCCCTTGAAATCGTCACCCTGCCGCACCAGGGCCTGATGGATGGTGTCCAGGCCACTGAGCACCAGCACAGGTACACGGCCAATGCGGATCTCCAGCACGTCCCCATAACGCTGGCTCAGGCGCGACAGTGCCAGGTGCGGGTTCTTCCCCAAGGTCAGAATGTGACCAAGCAGGGGCCAGCCCCAGGGCCCTGGTGGTCTCTTCAGGCCTTTGGGGACCTGAGGCTGCCAGGTCCTGACCACCCAGAATACCAAGCAGAAGATAGTGGAGGCCAGTAGAAGCTCTGTGGTCGAGATGGGGATGGAGAGTCCAATCACAGAAAACATGATCAGCGTAGAGATGGCAAGGTGGCTGCTGCGAGGTGGCAAGAGGGAAAGATCATGACTTCATACGGGGGAATGGGACGAACCAATGTCTTAAAGTAACAGCATGTTGGTCAAGGAAAGAGAAAACGTCATCTAGAATCGCTAACTGGCTATGAAGGGGAGAAGGAGGTGGGAGAAGGTGTTGAGCTGCCCAAATTGCCTAATTCCAGAACACCCTTTCTTAACTGTGCGCCAGTGTTTCCCAATGTCACTCTGCAATTTCAGTATACACCTGTACTATTATTTCACATTTTTCTAAAATCAACTTTAAATCTACCCACTTAGCATTATCCCAAACATATCTGTATGAAAGTACAAGTCTGATTTTTCCCCTAACATGTTAAAATAAACACATAGCTGACATGTATCACCTAAATCTCCTTGAGTACTACGCACCACACTTAGGGAAATGTTGCTATCAAAGAACTAGGCATCATCCACTCCTTTAACCTCATTTCACATTTGGAGAAAGTTGACCTTCAGAAGAAGCATTGACTTGGCTAAAGTCACCCAGCACTCAGTGTTTGAGCTAGGACTCAGGCCTCTTAGGGAAAATTCCCTGGGAGGTTTCCAGCTCCTGTCATAGCTACCTCCTTTTGAAGAGTGATCCCAGAACCCTCAGGACTCTCCTGCTCAACCTCAGGGTCCAGGGTGTCCTGCCAGGCCCTGGGACAGGGTAGGAAGGGGACAGGGTATGGGAAAACCACTGCCTAAGCCACCAGTCCCAGCTCTCTGAATTCAAGTGACACATAGTATAAAAGCAGCTGGAGACCAGCTAGATTGAGGGTCTGAATCATAGATATCTAGGCCAGGGTTTCTGTTGGGCTCAATTCTCAATGAGGGAATAGTTTGGTTCTCCCCCAGATGCCATTCACCAGAGAACAGAGAATAAATGGAAGGCTCCCACCAGAGCCAGGGCTGCAAGAAAACTCCAGACTGCCATAAGGGAAATTAAGAATGGATCTGAACTTAATGGAGGCTAAGACAATGCTTTCTAGGTTTGGTCTAGGAAATGTGTGCAAATTCATAGACTACTGTCTCAAGGCATCTGGCTCTGACTGGGACATCTTCCTGGTGCCCTGGACTGAAGGACAGGAGACTCAGTGTTTCAGGCTCAATGGCGTGGCCTTGGACTGGTCATTTTACCTTTCTGGGCTCCAGTTATGTCACCTGAGAGAGGAAGTGTCTGATTCAGGGTGCCCAGCTGGATCTCAGAGAAAACTCACATATGGCCTGGGGAACCTCACAACCTGACCAGTGAAGTTTCCCCACAGGAGAGCCACCCAAGATGGGAAGGTTGGTTGTATGGTTCCTACCTCAAGTACTATAGCTGTCTGCCTAGGGAGGCTTCCTCGAGGAGCAGGATTCCAAAGCACACATAGAAAACCCTGGGTCCCTAACTGAACTGGAGACACTGCTAGGCCTTGGTGTACCATGGTGTCTCCTTGCATATATTGGGTGCCCCAAGGACCTCTGGCCTTAATAAGACGGTAGGAGGCCAAGAGAAATGTGAGCAATGGTCCAGCTCCCTTGGAGCTGAGAGTCTATCACACTAACTGCTTCCTAACAGAGGCCAGAGTAGACAGTCAATGGAATAGGGAGGGTCCCTGGGCAGTGCCCAGGACTCCTGCTCAGAGCAGCTTCTCTTGTCCAACTCAGCACATCTCAGCTCTGACAAGCCATGCCGTGGGGGGTAGAGGCAGCCAGGGGTAGCTTTTAGATAAAACAGGTACAGCTTGGAAGAACACAACCTGCCCCCTCCATTCACCCTGACCTCCCAGGGAGAAGCCCTACCTCATCACACAACCTAAAGAGAGGCTGTATATGGACCCAGCTTTGGAAAACTGTGTCCTTATGCCAGCCAACCAGGTGACTCTGATGGGGAAGACCCTAGGCATTCAGAGGATCAGTGGGGCTGAAGCAGCAGCCTGGGTCCTGGAGTCGGGAGAGAGACATCTGCGTCTAGGGTTCTGGACTAGCTGTGGGACATTGGGCACGTCCTGCCTTTCCCTGGACTGCTTGGTCACTAAGACCGTTACTAGCCACCTTTTTTGAGGTGCTAGACCAGTGACGACCTAGGAAGACCTAGAAGCATCAAAGTTTTCCTTTTATTGGAAGGGAAGGGGCAAGCCAGAAGTCCCCAGCACTCACCTGTGGCTGTGAAGAGGTGCTGAACTGAGCTGGGAAGAGTGGTCTCTGGAGCCAGGACCCCAGAGAAGATCAGGGAATGCTCCAAGGAACTGTCACCTTCAGGGTGAGGGTGAAGGCACAACCAACTTTATAGGCGGCTAGCGCGTCTGTGGCCACGCCCCCTGGCTCTAGGGTGGGACAGAAGGAGCTGAGGCTGAGGGGGAATGGTAGCTCTAGGGTGAATGAGAATTGGGAGAGCGTGATGCACCGGGACAGGTAAGAGCCCACCATGGGGACGCCTCATCCAAGCGCCGGCACGTAAAGGAGTGAGGGTTGGGGAACATCTGGGACGCTCAATCCCAAGGTACTCTATGGACAGCGCAGCGCCCAGGTGAGGCGGGGATTTGGGGAGAAGTTCTAGGACAACCTGAAGAGAGGGTATGGGGGGCCTCCTACCCCGGGTACGGGGACCCCTCACCCTCATTTTTGCACCCACTGGTCGTGCAAGTACCTCCCCCTCACTACTAACGGACCGAGGCCAGGCAGGCCAGGGGCGTGGCTGCCGGGTAGTGACCTCCCTTCCCCGGGTTACTGAGTCCTGGCTCGCGTGAGAAGCGCGGCGACCTCTGCCCTTAGGTCATCGGGCGGAAGGCTAGCAGCGCGGATGGGCTGTCCCTTCCCCGACCCAGAGCCCCCAGAGCTTCTAGAGCCCCAGCAACTGGCATGAAAGTCGCGCTCTCTGGCCTGGGAGCAGGAATACAAAGAGAAGGTGCGGTCGTGCCGAGCTCTCACTAGCGGCTCGGTGCTGCCTCTATGGCCACTTTGAAAAGCTGCAAACCAGGGGTAACCTCCAGCCGGGATCCACCAGCCCTCGAGGTTCCCTCTTGGCTCCCGGGGTCGCTAGCGTTTTGGCGGGGCAGAGAAATCAAGCCGCGAGGGAGACTGCGAGGCTAGCTCCCGGCGACCGAGAAAAGGATTTGAGGGAGGGCGTCGGGCCGGACAGGGGAAAGAGCCAAGGGACTAAGGAGGGGGCACCTCGCACAGACACGTCCTAGGCTAATGAGTTTGGGTCCGGGACCTCCCTCTTGGGGGAAGAGGTCACGTGGCCCGTCCCCGCCCCACTTGGCCGCGGGTGCAGTGTCGCCAGTTGCGTGAGAACGGCGAGAAATCCCGAGCAGACACCCAGACTCCCAACGTCCGGGACCTGGTCGTGTCCTGGCACAGTCACGCGAGAGGGGAGGAGATTCTGGGGGCCTCTTAATGCGCCAGTCTCTCTCTAATGGAGCACGGGGGCGGAAGAAGAGGAGTGACTGAGCCTGGCTGCTGTGCCATTGGATGGGAGTCGGGGGCGGTGCAAACGGTGCAGGTTTGCGTGCAGAGCTGGGCTTTGGCCTGCGAGCGGGCGCCAGCGTGTGCCCGTATTTTTGGTGCACGCCTGTGGCAGGTCACGCAGCCCCAGAGCCGTCCAGCTTTCCTGGCTGGCTGCCTTCGGAGCTGTCCCCGCCCCTGCCGAATCCACCCGATGTAGGATGTTCAGGCAGAAAAAAGCCGTATTTGCGTGTCTAGCTCAACCTGTCTCCAACTCACCACATCACCCGCCCCACACGCGGTGCTCCCCAACCCAGCGAATGGCACTGTCTTCCATCTGCTGGCCCAGGCCAGAAAATAGCCTCATCCTGACCCCTGACTTCCGCGTCAGGCAGGCGCCACCTCATGTATTGCACAAACATTTATCGAACGCCATGTACCACCACTGTTCTGGATGCTGACGATTGATATGCAAGTGAACAAACTCAACCTCCTGCTCACATGGAACTTATATAGTATTTTGGTTGAGGGGGGAGGGGTTGGGAGACAGATAATGCACAGAGAATGTCAGAGGGTGACAAGTGCTACAGAGAAAAACAAAGCAGAGAAAGGGATAGGAGCAGACGGCATTTGAAAACAGGGTGGTCAGGGGAGTCCACATGGAGTAAATGACACTGAGCAGAGGCAGGCATGTGGAATCATGAATCAAAGCACACAGACTCCTAGAAGAAGAGTGCCCCGGGGCAGAGGGAACAGCAAGTTCAAAGACCCTGCACAGTGGTTCTTGAGGGAGGGAGCAGTACCAGGGGCAGTGGTCTTGTGACTGGGGAGTTCTGCTGGAATTTTATGACCCCAGGGGAGGGGATGCTCATGGGGGACATCCCTGTGCCAGGTACAGGGAGCACCCTATTGCAAAACATGGGACTTCCTCTGTGTGAGGAGACATTGTGAGGTCTGAGTCAATGAAGGCCACTCTGGCTGCTGTGCTGAGAATAGACAAGGACACGTTTCTCTACTCTGACATCTGTCCAGGCCCACTGCCACATTCTCATCTCAGCCCTCATCATGGCTCCCTCAAGTACTAACAGCCTCCAAACCTAGTTTCCATTTGCCTTTTACTCCCTCCAATTCTTTTTCCAACCTGTCACATCCAAAGTGTTTTTTTCAAAAATGCAAACTCTCTATCCATCAGCACCTTTCCTCTTTAGTAGCTCCCATCTGAATACAAAGTAGAATCTTTAGCAGAACCTACCAGGCCTATCCACCTCTACTTCTAATCTCCTCTACTTGAAGTCTCAGCTAAAACATCACTCCCTCTAGGACAACCTCCTGAATCATCTCCATAGCAAGTAGGTATCCTGGCCTGTTTCCAACACTTATCCATAGTAATCCTCAAAACACTTGACTCTTCCTATGACCCCTACCCAAACTGTGACTCCTTCCTCCAAACCCAGACAGAGAAAACCAGCTTGTGGGTAATTGATCTGATAAGCCAAGTCCTTGCAAGATATTAATAACAGGTAAATCCAGCTGTATTATGGATGGGGCACCTGACCCGGGTGATGTTGAGCCCAAAGTACTGATGCTATACTGGTGGAACTTAGGCACCAGAACAGGCAGGACACAAGGGAGTTATTACTTGTCTTCTGGTTCATCCAGCATTGTTCCATTCACCCTATCCTCTACATCGCTGGCTCAACCCGTGGAGCTTCATGATACCCAAGGGGGAGGGGGTCTGTCCTTGAATTCCAGTTGGAACTAGAGCCACAGAAATGGAAAGAACCTGTGTGGAAGCTGTGGCAAGGAAGTGGGGAGCAAAGCACTCCCAGATCCTTCATCTTGCTCTGCAACACAGTCTGTCCTTTGGTTCCCCAGAGTCCCCACCAATGCTCAAGCTCTAAAGAATCATGGCAACCTGCTCTTCTGGGCTGGAAGACCATCTGCTGAGGCTCCTGACCAGGGACCCTAAAAAACCGTTTGTTTGACAGAAGAGGCATTTATTTGCTAACACTCTCTAAGGGACTCGACCCCCCAAATAAATTTACTAGCTAATTAAGCCCATTTCTTTCCTACTGGGCTCAAAGACACCTGGCAAATCAAAACAGAGCCTAGAGCTCTAACCCATTAATTCTAGGCCATGATTTATTGCCCCAGACTAACAGCAAAGCCACAGGAAGCCAAAAGGGGATCGCCTCAGTGCCTGGGTCAGGGTTCCCATCTCCCCGTACTCCTGGACAGTCTGGTGAAATGAGGGTTAAGGGAGGCAGTGAATTTCTCACCAAGTCCTGTCTCCACAGAACAGCTCCCCAGATGGAGGGGGTGCTCAGGAGCACTTGGCGAAGAACAAGGGAGACAAGCAGGAGGTTAGGGAACCTTGGCCAGGAGCTGAACAGCCAACACTGGGTAAAAGTTTACATGCCTTTGCGTGAGAAGCTCTTTGGCTGATTCCCTAACGATCAATACCAGGAACACAAAGGTGGGGGCAGTGGGAAGCAGAGGGGACTCTGGGCTGAATGGATAGAGACCACTGCTGAGGGTCTTGGCCCAGCAGAGCCACCCAGCTTAGAGTCTTTAATCAGCACTGTTGAGAAGTATGTGGCAGGGAAATGGGGAGAAAGCAAGCCCCACGGCAAACCTCTACCCAGTGGTAGAGGGCAGGAACCATACCCTAAACACAGCCTATGCTGAATCTGGAAATGCTACAGGCGCTGTAAGAAGCTGACGTGGGGCAGGGGGCAAGTAAAGGAACTCTGGAGAGTGGGGGACCATAGAAGGGTCACGGAGCATGAGGAGTTATAGGAAAGGCCTTTCTGGCAAAAGGACCGGACATGACAAGAACAAAGCATGGGAGTGGGAGGTTGGAGTGAGGCCCTTTGAGAAGAGTTGGAGAGGAGGTGTAGAACTGGGACTTGCCTCCCAATGTGTCTTCACCCCACCTACCCACTCTTCACTCTACTCAAGATCTGAATCCCAAGTGCCTTCCCCCTCCTCCTATGCCCAGAGAGCCGAAGAGGTTTAGTTCACAGGATCCAGGGCTTAGATGGGGCAGTCCTCTACCCCAAAGCCAGATCCCTGCCTCTTGGCTGCTATAGTTAGGGTGACAATATTTTCCCAAGGTAGACTTGGTCTAAGCCTTTTGCCCTGGTGAAAATACTAAACGTGCCCTCTTTCACTCTCAAAAGAGTCCTGTCTTGAACAATAAATTATACAGTCATGCTGGTGACAGTGAGCATCTGAGGGGTTTTGTGTGCCCAGCACCCATTCTCTCTTCTGGCATTACCACTTCTGTTCCTTACCCCACCTCTACTCTCAGCCAATAGTTTTGATGGAGCTGACCACACCCCAGGTTACCAGGCTGGCGCATGATCCAGGCCAGGCCAATGAGAACCCAACGAAGATTTTTCTGAAGTCCTTGGAAGGGAGAGATTATCTTTCTGCCAGGGTAGTTAAGCTAATTTGAAAATAACTCTGGGCCTACCAGTGGCCATTTTTTAAGAAAGTCTGCTTTAGAATGATGCCTATTCAGGCAAAAGCAAAACAAGGAGGTGAGGAGAGGGAGAGAGGGAAAGAATCGATGACATTGAGCACTTAGATCCAATTATTCCTGAAGGCAATAAAGTTTACCCACAGAGCATCTCTGTTACATAAATCAGAGTCGCCACCACCTCCCCTTTGCCTCCTTTCCCCTCTTTGCTCTTCTTCATCTCTTCACCTTTTTTATTCTTCCTCTTCCTCTTCTAATAGGAGCTGGATTTGGGGACTTGCAACTGAAAGGATTATAACAAACCCTGCAGGCCAGAGAGGTTTACCTTGCAGTGCTCTGTGAGTAATTAAACCTCAGCCAGAGCCGGAGCC